GTTAATTTAGAAATTCTAAAGAGGTTGTTAAAGGTGTATGTTTGGAGCGCGGCGTTGTACGGGTGCGAAACATAGACACTGGGCGTGGCGGAAAAATAAGGTTGGCGTTATAGGTGAAGTTTAGTAATGATGATGAAAAATAAATAGTACTCGCATTTAAATAAATTTTTTTGATAAAAACTAATCTATTTATTCATAAGAAANACTCGCATTAAATTTTTTTTTGATAAAAAATCTATTTATTCATAAGAAAAGATATCTATTTATATACAACACTAACTTGTACTTCAATAACAAACAATTGATGAGCAAGAAATTCAATGGGAGCCATGGCTTTGCATGGTAATAACTTGTTGTTTTAAGTTTCAAACACGACTCTAAATTTTCATTTGTTAGTTGGCTTCTTACTTTACTTTTAATTATATTCATGCAAGGGCTCGCTCGAACGAATATGTCGATCCGAAGATAGTCAGCACTCCACATGCCAACTTCTTCACCTCATTGTAACAATCTGGAAGACTATTGGGATGCGGTGAAAAGCGAGTACAAGTGGCTGAGAGATAGAATCAGTGCCTAATCCTCGTTAATCAATTCAAAACGATTTTTAAATGTTTTTTTTTTTGATAAAATAAATAATATTTTCGTATGAAACTAAAGAGCCGCAACTTCACATCCAAAGAGCCGCATGTGGCTCGCGAGCCGCAGGTTGCCGACCCCTGCACTAGTGCAATGGAAAAATACTGTATTATTTTGGAGTATCTTTGATATGTACCATGTGAGTGAATATAATTTATTTATTTAAGATCGCCAGTGAAATTCTCTGCTTCCCAAAATTGCCCTGCTGTATTTCTCAATTTAAAGAGGGTTTCGGGATCTAAGAATTCGTCGTACAAGGGGGAATTGTTTAGCATGTTAATCAGAACCTCCATATATATGTCACGGCTTTTCCCCGGTAATAAATTGAAAAAGATATGAAACATGAAACAGTTGACTAACGGACGTAAAATATAAATCTGAGTAAAACATTTGTTGACGTTGCCTTCATCCATGAAAACTGAAATGAGACAAGTAAACAAGGAAAACTATCATATCAAATGTACCTACTGCGTATCGCATATATAAAAAAAACAACAGCCAAATGAAAATGAAAAAGGATTTTCAGTCAACAAGTACGATGAACCATTTTTTTTTTCGTACTACTTCTGCATGATAATTAATTGAAAAGACGAAGAGACATTATAAAAGAAACAAAATATCGTCGAGTTGCATTTTTTGACTTGACTGATAATGTCACCAACATTTTATTGTCGACAATTTAAAACTGTCACACACATACCTACACCTACTGAAGTTCCTTTTTCGCATCAATCTTGCTTTCAATTTATTTAGCCCCTCCTGTCACACCTTTCACACTTCCTAAATGTGCAAATTCAGCGAACTGAAACTAATATATTCCTTTGCACTTTCCTCCTCACGCAATTCATTAGATTCCTTCTACGAAAGCTACATTCAAAATGATACGCAGCCTGCTTAGAAACGACCCTTGTTTGCACCTATCGTAGTAAAAGGAAATGAAAGTTCATTAGCGGAAGAAGACACAATGGAGAAACGCAGATGATTGAGTTCTGATAGTCTCAATCCTAAGTGGATGCGCTACGAAGTTGTTCTTAACGTCACATTTACTTTAATTAATGCAAAAATACATATCCTAAGGAGTAAAGGTAACAGTCAGTGTCCAGTAGCCATCACATGATCCCCGATTTTTGGCAAAATGGACTACTGTTTCTTTTTTTGACGTGACAACGTCTTATAATTCGATGGAGCCGGCTGCATGCACGAAAAAACATGACTCATGCGGCGTTACTTCGCTCTGAGGCGTTCCATTTAAGGCTTGAAGTGCAAGCGAGAGCGCGGAACGAGCGACAAAGAGGCACAATCGGTCTCCGCGTTCGGCAGCGTTCGACATCTGTCTCTCTCCTACTTGAGTGAGCGATGCGTCCGCGTGGACAGCTGCTATACAATAATACATTTCCATTTACCTCCTTCTCTATATCCATACAAAATATCTATTAAACAAATAAAATTAAAATTTTCTTTTGAAAAATGAAACCATTCCATCAGTATTTTCTTATGACGTTGTCACGTTCAACTATCGTCAGTAAACCGACTTTACAGACAACCGATTTTTTGATAAATCACAGGGAAAAAAGACCAAAGTCGTTAGTTTGAAATACATCATAAAGAAATGGCTTTTTCTTCCGGTGTAACAGAAGAAGTTCGTCGGAATTTCTTTTGTTGCTAGTCGCAAAGGAAGTAACCCCATCCCAAAAGTATCCCATAAGCTAATCTCTCTATATATTTCTTAAGATATTAAGATTACAACTTCGAATTCATTTTACCCATTACAGATAACCTCAAATTATTATCTATCGTCGACGTTGCTGCTGTCACCACCCCCTCGTAGCTTAGTGGTAGAACACTGGTGCGTAAAACCAGGGGCCTATAGGCGCTCTATTCCTAGCGAGGTAGTGAGAGCAGCAACAATTTTTCTTCATTAATTTGAGGTTATCTGCAGTGGGTAAAGTTAATTCAAAACAATTAATTCAATAATGAATTGAATTTAACCATAAAAATGTTTCCCTGCAGACTAATTTTATTATTAAACAGTTAATTCCACAAAGAATGCCTATTTTTCTTCTGTCAGAGAAATACACTATTGTCTCAAAATATATCACCCTGTATTTGCCTTAAGTGCTTTCATCAGTAAGCAAAGAACAATTCTCACTAAAATTCATTTGTCTAGATTTCTACGTGTCACTATACCCCAAGGAAATTCAATTTCGTTGGAATTGAAAGGTAATTTAAAATGGAGATGAATCGTTTCTATATATATATATATATTTACCTACTTTCAGTAGTCTGTAACTCTTTGATCAATCGGAAAACAAAACGTGAAGGCAAACATGAATACATCGAAAGCTGTAGTCTCGTTTTTACGTTATTTTCCACAAATTACCCGTACACAGTCGAATTACAAAAACAAAGCGTGTGTTATTTACAGCAAGCCTTTACAAAAAGATTTTTACGCATCGATCGTTTCAGTTATTACCAAAAATGTAAAACATACAGCGTACAAATTAAATTTTGCTTTTCAAAGTTCAACCCTTTAGCACAAAATTAAATTAGCAGTGTAATTAAATGTTCAATGTATTAATAAGTTACATTTCATTTTCATGCCGAACCATGTGCAATATACAAGATCCGTTCAGAAAGTATCGCAAATTTTGTGTTTTTTCAAAAATTATTTATTTATTCACGAATATCTATTTTGTCCCCTTCAAAGTAATCCCCACCAGATATTATACACTTGTGCCAGCGTTTTTTTTTTAATCCTCGAAGCACTTCAAACAATAATTTTTTGTGATCTTTTCAACTCCTCCTCCGATGCCGTCTTTCTCTCCTCAATCGCGGTGTAGCGTCGTCTTTTCATGGGCTTCTTCAGTTTCGTGATCCAAAAAAAGTCACAGGGGGGCAGATCTGGAGAATACGGTGGCTGGGCATTATTAGTGTGTTGTTTTTGGCTAAACATTCGCTGACAAGCAACGATGTGTAAGCCAATTTTTGTTCTTCCATAAATGCGGGCACTTCTGGCGGATTTGGTTCGCGCAAAATGCGCATAACTTGCAGGTAGTATTCCTTATTGACCGTTCTACCCTGTGGTAAAAACTCATGATGCACCACGCCCCTGCAATCGAAGATAACTAAGTAAAACCTTCACATTCGACCTAACTTGGTTCGCTTTTTTCGGTCTTGGCTCGTGCGACAGCTTCCATTGGGATGATTGAACTTTGGTTTCCACTTCATACCCATAAACCCGCGATTCGTTACCAGTTACGACCCTCTGGAACAAATTTGGGTCGTCGCGGACAGAGTCCAATAGCTCCTTAGCAATGTTAATGCAATGCCGTTTTTGATCGAAAATGAGTAATTTTAGAACAAATTTCGCGGCAACCCGTCTCATGCCCAAATTATTGGTAAAAATCGAATGATAGGAGCCAATGGATATGGTTAGGTCCTCAGCAACTTCTCTAACGGTAATTCGACGATTACTCAATACCATTTTCTTCCTCGATGTTTTCGTTTGTTGGTGACGTTCTCGACCTTCCGGCATGTTCTTCGTCATTCACATCTTCTCGGCCGTCTGACAACATTTTGAACCACCGATAAACGTTGCTTCTGTCCAAGGTAGCTTCACCATACGTCCGCGTACTTAACTTTGTTTTTCACACAAAATTTAATACAGATTCTTTGATCCATTTTTTGGCATAGGCAAAAATCGAAGACGATCCAAAACACGTGCAAGAGAATTATTACTGAACATGGTCGAGACATGAGTACCAACATAACGCCACAAAAAAATCGAAAATCGAATATACATAACCCGCGGAAATTCGATTCGCGATACTTTTTGGACAGATCTCATATATCCTATTGAATCGATAAACCAATAATACTTCAAAATCAACCGATGAATATTAAAACAGTTTACCTTATTGGACATTTTAGTCACCCACGCGTGAGCCGTGGTGCTAGTCGTCCCGCACTCTTTTTAATTGAATTACTGTTGAACATAAGATATTGTACTTTTTACAAGAACATGACTGCATAGTTTTGTTGTTTATTTTATCGTCCTTTCACGCAAAACACTCAGTTAGTGATTAATGAGTTTCATTAGAGAACGAAGAGTAAAATTATTGCAACCGTCAATAACGCCAACGCGTTCCGACGTGGTTATGTCCCGTTTAGGAGTCGGGGTAGTTTCTTTTTCCCTTCGTAGTCAACTAACTTTTGCAATATCGTCAGTAGCAACAGCGCAAAACGTAACTAGGTTACTCGCCGTAGTAGGTTGTTGTAGCTCCACAGTAACTTTAGAGGAATGATGCTGTCGGAGCGTTGTAAGAAGTTTGAAACATCAATCAATAAAGATATCTTTGTTCCAGGACGAAGGTTGGAAGCTTAACAGGACCAATTATTATCAGGAAGGATGGCTGGCGACGGGGAATGTCAGGGGCATCGTGGGGGTCACGTTTACAACGAGTCATTGTAAGAAAAACGTGGAATTTCCAACCAGAACAAATTACAATTTACGTGGACATAGGTCCGAGGTAAATTAACTTCAGCGTTGGACAAATTAACACATTACAAATTTAGTACATTCCTGCACAGAATTAATGTAACAATTTAATGAGTATTGGGCTCTGTCAAATGGGAGGAGCCTAAAAACATGGCGCCGATTAGGGAAAATTTATAGTAGTTCCTATAGTGTACCGTGCAATTTCCAAGTTTTTAAATTACGATAAAATGATAAGTATTGACACAATATGTGATTGGGCTGACACAAAGCCTCGGAAAGGAAATTTCGTTGAAGGTGATCGTGTTTTTAATGCCAATCACATTATAAAATTCGGAAATAATAAATCCGGAAGCTAGCCTTCAAATTCCCTCAAGTTTACTGCCTACTTTTTACAAACTTCGGATTTAAAAAGTGATTCACGTTATATAATTGGTGAGGTGATTCTGGGTGATTTAAGCAATATTATATCAATGACTTGCACGTGCAAAGCCGATTTAAGAGAACGTTGCAAACACATTATTGCAACTTTGTTGTATTGCAGCAGGTAGGTTCTTAACCTCAAAATACTTATATCGTATCATTAGAATTGTGTTAAATCAATTACACAGGAATAAATAATTTCTCACTTTATAATTTTAGTATGATTCTAGTTTTAAATATTAAGGTTATGGCTGATGGTAAATACTTGCTGAAATATAATCATGTGCATTAAAATGACGTGAACAAATTTTTATTCCGGAATTCACTTCTTTGATACCTGCTGCTTTCATCTAAGCTTCTATTAGTTTACTTTTTTCTCTAGTTTTCCGAATATATTTTTTACATATATAAAACGGTTAGTTTTTATTGGAAAGTAGTTAATGTAGGTGAAGAGTAAAGATCTATGTCTGAAGTGCTATTGCAGCTTTTCACTGAACATATTAACTTTTTATTTGATTTAACTTAATTTAAGATGGTGTATGCCCATTTGACGGATCCCAATTGTCAGACTGTTTGTATGATAAATTCAAACTACATTTCATTTTCCTCACCAATATATCATTATTTCTTGGAGTCGGTAATAAACTCTCTGCATAAATTTAGTTTTTTCTAATAATGGAGCTAACAATAGAATATTAATACAATCTCCCCTTTCTCAATTTACAAAATCAATTTTGTTGCATCCACAACTCATCTCGATAATTAAAAGTAAGCAATTTAGAATTCTGCTCTCAGCAAACCGTTACTGTAAATTAGAAGAGGGTGCATGTGTTATAAAACATATTTTCACCGAAACGTTGTGGAATACAATATCTTACAGGGATTATTCTGCAACGCTAGGTCCTTTTGTTTTACACGAACATAAGTTAATTAAAAATTTATCCATTTCCTATTTTAATATTAATCGTATCCATCGCACCGCGTTATTGAAAGAGAATAGATGATTTCTATAAAAGTAATTATAAACTCACTAGTCGAGGGTGATGAGATATAACGACTTTTGCCTATAATTCAAGAACCACTTAAAATATATTTGGGTGGGGTGTTCACTGTTGCGAAGAAAGATTTAAGAAGAATTTATGAAACAGAGCTAGGATCAGGGCTAGAATTTAATGGACAAAAAAATTGGGTAGGCATTTTTAATACAACAAAAGATCATATCTTACCCCAGAAAAGTCGCGAACAAAGAGCCATTCTAGATTAGATAAGGGATAGTTATTACCTGACGTAAAGACTGAGTATTAAAAAGACAATACACGTATAACACGTTGCAGCGATAGGGCATAGGTCAAGGCTAACTGTTACATTGAAGCCACCTATGTTCAAGATCACACACAGACCTAATTTGATTACGGCCAAAATGGATCGAATATTGTTTAATAGATGTACGCGTTTCAATGTTCAAATCAACTGTCACACTATTGAAACAATGTGCTATAATTGAAGTGGGAAGCACGCATCCACTTAATAGCATTCCCGGGAAATTCCCGACTAAGTAATAATTAATTAATGTCATTCGTTGTTCATTTCAAGGCGTAATAATGAAACTTATCTTTCAGTCAGTAAACATCTCAAAAGCTTTTAAACACGGTACATCTACTGTTTGTTCTTTTATTGTTTTCTGCATTAGGTATTATTATTTTCTTAACAAAGGCGTATTCCTATTTAAATGTTTCAGTCAAAAATCAATTTCAAATAACCATGTAATCATGATATAAATTTTTTATCACCATGTGGAACGTTTATTACCTCCCAATTGCAATTGATATCTTCTTCGTTATTCTAATAAAGGCGTAAATTTTGTTGTAAGAAATAATGTATGATTAGAACGAGTATTTTTAGGTTTTATTCTTGAATATCATACATATTTTAGACAAGATATTTCCAAGTCTAATCTTCCTTAACCCATAGAAACTTTATCATATTATTTCAGGTGATATTGGTAAAATGGAATGAGCCATACCAAAAGTTAGCATCTTGCGATAGCTCTGGGATTATATTTGTTTGGATTAAATATGAAGGAAGGTGGTCAATTGAATTAATTAATGATAGAAACACCCCTGTTACTTATTTTTCATGGTCCCACGATGGGCGAATGGCACTGATATGTTACCAGGTGAATTTAAATTATGGTAATAATGTTCACCATCAAACTCATTTCCATTATTCAAATACAACATCAGCTCATTACAATTTTCAGGATTTCATAGTTATAACTGTCTAACAGTAAGTAATACACATTTCAGGATGGTTTTGTTTTGGTTGGATCTGTAGCTGGTCAGAGGTACTGGTCGTCCATGTTGAACCTCGAAGCTACCATCACGTGTGGCATTTGGACTCCGGACGACCAGCAGGTCTATTTCGGTACAACATCCGGACAAATAATCGTCATGGACGTTCATGGGGCTATGGTGTCTCAAGTACAACTCAGTTCTGACGTTGGAATTACTTCCATGGCTTGGTCTTGCGAAAAATTCAAGATGGAAGAAGGAGATGACAATGATCCCGGAGTCGCAAACGCTGGTAAGTTGTTTAATGCCCATTTTGTGGATTAAAAATAAGTTTAATTGTCTCTTTAAACTAACTTTCAAATCCCCATAGACCCCTAATAATCTTTTTACGGTTTCCTAACCCAAAATCAAAAACCATCGGATGTAGATTACTATTTCCAATTTATTAGCTATCTTCAGGAATCCAAAGTGAGTTTCTTCAAGCAAGAAATTAACTGAAGAAGCATATAGTGTTTGACCTTCGAAGATAACTACTTACCAAACTGCACCGATACTTCGTTTAGTTTCTGTAGCAATGTGACCTTCAGTTTGACCGGCGCAAAGTAAAACAGAACAGCACTAGGCCAGAAAAGGAAGGAGACAACTCTCGGCCAAACTCTTAACCGGTGAGGAGCGTATAATCCGTACAGTATTGCACGGAAAAATTGACTATTTTATCCACTATAATTGTATTGCTCAACTGTGCTGTTATTGGTACCATTTACTACTGAAAATATCAATAAGATGTTTATTTATATTTGAAGATATATTAAAGGCTTTAACGCTTGTTTTCGACTAGCACTACTATTCATCTGCCTGAAAAGTTTCTTA